TCTCAACAACCTTCTCCTGGTCCTGCGGTTCCATGGCAACGTCCCCTTGGTCAGGTCGTGCTCCTCCGCCATGTACTTGAAGATTCGTCGAGGCACCTCAGGACTCATCACCTCGGGGTCCAGGTTGTCCTCCTGCTCGATGTCCAGGTATTTGCGACGCTCCGCGGCCTCAATCTCATGAATGAGCAGCGAGGCGTCCTTCTCCGGAACCACAGGGCATCCATCCCGAAGGGTGCAACACGATCTTTCCCCTTCTCGGGTGTTCAGCAGTACAACCAGACCTGGACCATGTCATCTTGTAGCCCAGATCCACCAGCCCCCGAACCGGGACTATATATAGGTTCTACCGGCTGCTGCGACAAGAGAGTTCCAGTTGTTGGATCCTGATGCAGCTGGATCTGACCATGCGCCAGCTCCACCGTCACTAGCTCGGCCTTCTCGATCTCCCCGTCCAGAGCCATTTGTTTTTGTTTTGGCCCCCCACCCGTTCCGGGTAGATGGCTTGCTGTCACCGCCCTTCACCTTGGCCACCTTCGTGCTCTCCTCATTCACCTCCTTGGTTTTGACGATGTGAGGACAGTCTTTACGAGTGTGGTTGAGACCTGAGCAATGAAAGCATCTGTTGTCCTTGGGGTTCAACAGGGAGTGCTTGAACTTGCAGCGATCACCCCTGCGACATCCCTTTTCACTCAACCAAAAACGACGCGCCGGCCTTCTCCAGCACCACCCTTGGCCTCCGGCCCACTTCCACTATTCGTAGTTGTGGTTGCCGTCGTTGAAGTCAAGGTCATAGATTTCACAGCAGGAGCCGTTTTCGTAGTTCCTGCACCATTGGCACCATGAGCCAACTCTTCACTCTCGGCCTGCAACAGCTCCGCAAAGGTCTTGATCGCGTCCGTCGTAGGTCGGGTGTCAATGTTTAACTGTTGACGACACGCAGCAAGCCTGTATGCCGCTTGAGCGCCCGTCTTGGCGATGTAGTCCGAGGTCTTGGTCAGGACGCCCGCGAGAATCACCGGGTCCGGCAACATCACCGCCAGCTCTTGTGCCCTGTTCCACCACCGACGCCATGGCCTCAGTTTTGAAGCGACTTCCGTCATTGTTCCAGAAGTCTTCAGGTCCGTCAGGTAACGGATGAGGTTCATCCTTTCGCTTTGCCCTCCAGGTTGAAACCTCACAAACAACGTAAAAACAGCAGATGCGAAGCACTCAACTTCCTCGCCGCCACTGCTTCCGACCGAATCACTTCAGGCACCGCCTGCAGCAGCAAACTGGTCATTCTCCTCTCCGTCCTCGGCCACTTGGTTGCCGCCGTAGAGGTTCCTGGATCCAGCCTGAGCCGTTGGAGAGGTTCAGAGGACAACCACGCCGCATAGTGCTCCTCGACCCCTTTTATTGTTGCTGCCCACCACCAGCCAGTCGCCGAAGGTCAACGAGTTGGCGTCCAGTGGCAAGACCGGCAACTCCACGTTGCGAAGGCTCTCGTTCATGCACTCTTCGGAGCCAGGAACAGCACCACTGCCAGGTCCACCACCACGAGGAGGTCTAGCAGCTCCACCACCTCCACCCCCTGATCCCATGCCAGCAGGGTAGGGCCAAGGAAAGCATGGGGACCTCGTCCCCATCCCAGCTCCTTGCGTGCTAGGATGTTGACCATTCGTCGTAGTCCCGGCTCCTTGCATGCCAGGGTTCTGACCATTCGTAGTCCCCGAAGACACCGAAGACGACATAGGTTGCGTGCCAGCGCCCGGTTGTAGGCCTTGACCACCTTGAAGATGATGTCCTTGTCCAGCGGGTTGCCCACTGCCACCATCACCAGGTTGTCCACCAACACCTGAGCCCTCTGGAACGGACTTGAAAGAGGCGTTCGATGAGGTCCTACCCTCCGCGAACCGCTGCTCCGCCTCGCGAAGACATTGAAGACGAAATAGTTCCACCTGCTCCGTAGGTCCAACGCTGCCAGCCACAACGGCTTGTTGTTCTTGCAATTTTGGCAGCTGTCCATGGGTTGACCGGTGAAATGTGAGCTTGACTGAGCCCTGGCAGACTCCCACTTGCACCCTGAACTGGTTCTCCATGTGGTCCAGCTCCTGGTCGTTGACCTGGTCCCGCTTGTAGTGCTCCTTCAACTTGGACTTGACCTGCGGGTAGAGCACCACCACCATGAGGACCGCCAAGATCTCCACGTTGCGGAAGAACCGGTAGTTGGGCATGGATTCCACTCCCCAAGGCATTTTTATGGGAAAGGTGCAGACAAGAAGCTCAATCCACCAAAGGCTTCTCTGGCTTGATGAAGTAGGGCAGCTGCACCTGTTCCAAAGCCACCACCAGGCTCCCCTTCCGCTCCACGAGGAAGAGGAAGTAGATTAGATCCAGCGGCAATGCGCCTGCACCGTCTCCTGAGGTCTCTGCAGGGCCGGGGTCTGCTATGGCGTCGCCGCGGTCCGCTTCAGCGCTGGGGTCAGGCTCGTGCTCGGCTCCAGAGATTGCGATCTCCTGGGTGGGGCAGACTTCGCCCGATGCTCTTGCAGCATTTCTTCCAGCTGCTCATCCGCGCTTTGTCTTCGCGCCTTCGATGCCGATCGCCATCTGTCCATGGCGGCCATCAACCCGAACAAACGGGGTGGTCTTTCCTATTTCTTTGGGCTCATAACCCATGTGAGTGCAATTCACTCGGACCTTCTCTTGAGCCAAACGTTGCCAAGTTAATGGCTGGTTTCGAAAAGGGGACCTTCAAGAGTGCTTGGTACACTTCTTGTTTTGTGCGGACTGGTTCTTGACTCGCAGAAAGAAAGGGTTAGGAAGAGTCACCTTCTTCCAATTCATGTGCTTTTCGAAGGAGTGAACGGCTGGGCAGACTTGCTACGCAAAGGCAATCGACAAACTGCGCAAAAAAAGAGCTTCTGGTCGTCTCTATGTATACACTTGATTGGAACGTCTGCTTTCATCAGGTCGTTCAAAATCTCTTGGAGCCAATCGAATCTAGAAGGACCTGCGATGGTGGGCTTTCGCCCTGGCGCAAGCTCTTCGCTCGATGGGCGGTTCAAGGTTTCCTGACAAGTGTGTTGGCGACGGAGATCCTGCAAGAAATGGGCCCTTTAGACAAAACTGTAGGGCGCGCGAAAAGACGTGAATGAATGAACGTGAATGAGCGTGAAATAGCTGTGAAAGGACATCGTGTTCACGCGTGAGCGGACATCCCTTCATCTCCTCCGGCGCAAACATCCACTGCTGGGCTCTTTCTTGATACGACCTTTCCCCAACTCCCTGCGACCGTGGTGTCAGCCCCCAGGGATGGTGCGAGCTGGTTCTCCTTCACCGTCCCAGGCACAGGTTGTGTTTAATAGTTTGCGCAAACATCCACAGCCGGAGACATTAACGGACCCTCTTGATCATGAAAGTCGGCGGCAGTCCGGCGTGGAGAGATGGCTGACTGGAATTGATTCCGACGTGGAAACTTGTTCAACTACCAACAGAAATTAAAACGCTCAATTTGGATGAAGGCCTCGTCACTGTCACCAACTATGTGAGGGGTTTGTGTTTCCATCTTTCTGTGCGCGCAGCAATGCCCCGCCATGGAAGGTGAGCGACATTTGTGTGAGTGGAGGAGACGGCGTGGGCTTTCGCCTCACCTTCTATCCAGCTTACCCGGCGGGGGAGTTGCGCCCACTATGCAGGGGCCCTGCAGGGGGTCTGTTCCTATACGTGGGGCTAGGTGGTTCTTAACTTGGGCCGGGTCAGCGTTGCGTTTCTCTCGTCTCACCAAAGGTTAAGTTCAAAACTGCGTCTTGAACAACGATGAGCATCGCAGAGTCGGCCGGTAGGGCAGCAGAGACCAGGTAGCCGGAGTTGTTTGCCCTCTCAGATGGCCATCCAAGCCACAAGTTGATGAAATTGCAATTTTCTAAATCACGCCCAATCCATTGTCCGTGGCAAGGTGGGGTGGAACGCGGGTGGTTCAGCTAGCGAGAGCTAAGCCCAAACGAATCCAACGCTGGCAAGCCAAGTGCGTGGACTGGGGGGGCACCGGTGCACCTCTTGCGGATCTACGAGGCAGGCGCTCTTAGGTTGCGAATGGGACGAAACGTTACGGATCGAAAAGGTTGGCGGGGACCCGGGGTGTGTCGTTTGATTTCCAACACAATTCTTGTTTTTTCTTTTACCTTTTAGGCTCTGCCTTTGGGGTTTGTGGCTGTCGGACATTTTTCTGACTTCGATGCTCAAGGAAGGAGGACAGAAAGAGAGAACGAGAGGAAGAACGGAAGAAAGGAAGGACGGAAGGAAGGAAGGAAAGAAAGAAAGAAGAACGGAAGAAAGGAAGAAGGAAGAACGGAAGACAGGAAGAAAGAAGGAATGGAAGGAAGGAAGAGAAGGAAAGGAAAAGGAAGAAAGAAGGAAAGACAGAAAGGAAGAACAGAAGAAAGAAAGGAAAAAATCAAGATCGGAAGAAGGGAGGAAAGGAAGAAAGGAAGGTTTGAAAAAAGGAAGAAAGCAAGAAGGAAAGTAAGAAATGCAGAAAGGAAAAGAAAAAAGGAAGAAAGGAAGAAAGAGAAAGGAAGATAAAAAAAACGGAAGAAAGAAAGAAAGCAGATACAGAAGAAAGGAACAAAGAAAGAACGGAAAAAAAGGTAAAAAAACAAGATCGGAAGAAAGAAAAAAAGAACGGAAGAAAGGAAAAAAAGGAAGGGAACGGAAGAAAGAAAAAGACACACGAAAATGGAAGAAATGAACAAATGCAGAAAGAAAAAACGGGAGAACGGAAGAGAGGAAAAAAAGGGAGGAACGGAAAAACAAAAACTGAAAAAATCAGATCAACTCGAAACAAAAAAACTAAAGAAAGGCAAAAAGGAAAAAAAAGGAAGAACGAAAAAGAAGGAAACGAGGAAAAAAACGGACACAATGAACCCATGAATGATAGAATGGAAGAACGGAAGGAAGGAAAAACGGAAAAATACAAACAACATTTCTTCTTTACATTTGCGACTCGTTTTTGAAGCAAGGCCGTCACCGCGCTGCCGTCCATCGGATCAGCCCTGCATGCATCAGGGAAGCATCGGTCTAAGTGAGCTAAGCGGAAGCGGAATTGAACACGTTAAATGTTTTGTTTTTTAAGGGATGGGTAGACCCCTAATTAGGCTAAGTAGCTAGTAGTAGTAACGGGTAAGAAACTATTAAACAATAGGTACCTACTTGGCTCCGGACGCATGAAAGATCACGAAAGTCGAAACCGTTCGGACTATTCATGGTCATGTGGTTCCGACTATTCATGGTCATGTGGTTCCTACATTTTTTGGGAAACATGTTGAGTGCCAAGCAAGCACTTGAGGTGCAGCCGATGCTGCTTTTATTTGAAGGTGCTGGACAGAAGTTAAGTGTCCCAAATCTTACTGAGATGAAATTGTCGTTTTTTCCTTTTTGAGAAGACATGCTTGATATTGTAGTTTTGGCAACTGTGCTTTCCTTTGCTTTCAGAGAAGACCTCCTTGTCACTGCACTGCACGAGTGAAGCAGCACTGACCCCAACACAGCGGACAGTATTGATTTGCTCATTACCGCTGGAAAGTCCACCTTTGCCAAGACAGGAGTTTGTTCAATCAGCAACAGAGAAGTCTTTGCCCGTTGAGCATGTTTACTGGATACTCCTACTGTCAGCTCCCACATTGCTCCCATCAATTTCACCGCGTTTTGTTCCAATGTTGCGATCAACGACATGGGAGCAGCACTTGTGCTGCGGTGCAGCCCAAAGCTGAGCTACGCTGTGCTATGCTGTGCTACGCAATGTGTTTTTCCCTCAGCCTCTCTGACTGAGCTCAGGTCCGCACTGCTGCCATCAACTCGGTGCCGAATGCGAAGAAGAGTCCATAGGCAGGAGCGATGCCAGGAGCCCCTAGTAGTTTCTTGTTACTAGTAGTAATGCCAGGAGCTACTAGTAGCGTCCTTGCTCCTAGTAGTAAGGCCAGGAGCCCCTAGTAGCTTCTTGTTACTAGTAATGCCCTTGTTACTAGTAGCGATGCTGGTTATTTGTCCATAGCTACAGAATGGTCTTTCGTCTCAGACCTCGGACGAACAAAGTCTCGTTTTTTTGCGGAGCCTCCATCGTTTTTGAAAACAAGCCTCCAAACCTGTCTCAAAGCAGCCAGGCCTGGTAGGCTTTGAGAGCCTTAGTGTTTTGGATTGGGGACAAGGTTTGGTGCGCTACTCAGAGCCCAACCGTTTGCAATGCGCTATTGTCACAGGAGCAGAACAGGACAGCAACATGCGTTCTTTTTTGCATTTTTTGTTTTTCCAATCCTTTTTGGACCTTTGAATATCAATTATGTTTTCCAGTTGTCCCTTTAGGCCAATGGAGAGCCTGTAGGGCGAATCCTACAAGAGACCCTTCATGTGAGCGACGTGGTGCGGAGCATAGCCATTGCAGCGCACATCCGAAGTTGTTTTTGGTGGAGAGGCTGTGTCGTGTGAATGCATTCTGCAACCTGCAAAGATCGCGTAAAGCCATAGACTAGGACAGAGATTTGCTGTGCTTTGCAGCATCCTCTGCATTGACAGTGGTGCGATGGCGAGGTCCCTAATCTTTCACTTCTGGTTAAGATTATGAAGACTTCCTCTGATCGATAGCAAACGGGGGGAACCCCTTTGTATCCACCTTGCCTCAGGTTGCTACTTTTGGGAGCTCGTCCGGAAGCTGCCGACAACAATGGCACCACTGTCCTTCATGCTGCCTGGACCTGAGTGCCGTTGCCAATACTTCTTTTTGGTGCCTTCATCGTTTGTTACTTCATCGTTTCTTGTACACTCTGACTCTGACTCACTAACATGGAAGTAGAAAATGGTCCTTGGAAGAAAACTTTCCTTGTCAGAGTGTACCTCCTACGTTTGCTACTGCGTTGTTTTTCGATCATGTGTGTTGTTCCGAGAATGCCTGGCATGCACACACACAAACTTGTCCTTGATCGATGGCCAGGCTTGCCGCTCTGGTTCTTTAGCCGTGGTGTGTGAGTCTTAGAGTTGCACAGTGCACTTTCCTGCGGCATTGCATTTAAGTCCAAATGACTTTGAGCGGGTAATTGGCAGGAAACAGTTCATCAAGCAGACGGCGCTGCTGAATAAGCCCGATGCTACTTGTTTTTGAGTGTAGAACACGCTGCTGGTGCATTTTCGGAGGCCGCTGGAGTGGCCCAGATATTTGAGCCATAAACCTACAAATCAAATTTGTGTCATATGGGAAAAGGGTCCTTGCCTTCTAACATTCTCTTTCATTTGACAGATTTATCTCTGAGTAAGTGATCTGTGAGATTTTTGGACGATCCGAAGGTCCATACGTTTTCAGAGTCTGTCTGCATCGTTTAACTGGCTTCGACATGAACAAGTAGCTTGAACATGCTTGAACTATGCTGCTGGACTGAGCCGCTTCAAAGGTGGCAGGACACTCTTGAAGAAACAGTGTTTCCTGAAAAATCTGAATTGTCCTTTTTGGAAGAGAATCTGAGTTCGGGTTTGTGTTTGATATCGTTTCGCTTCTGGGACCGCAGGTAAAGGGGTGAACCTTCAAAATGCTCTATGCCCCCAAGAAAGGAGTTGTAGGCAAGAGTTAAGTTTCCCTTAAGATCCAGCAGCCAGATGAATAGCTTGAGCTATCCTGCGTCCATACTAGTAGCTTAAGTAATCTACTAGCTACCTAGCTCCTACCTCACCTCTACTAGCGGCCTACCCCACCGGCTGAAAAAAGGAGTTGTTTCGCTTGTTTGTCGTCAGGTTGCTGGTTGGACCCCTCTTCACATTGCAGCCCACATGGGCCGCCGCGCCGTGGTGGCCCGGCTCTTGCAAGCTTGAGACTCAGGAAAAGAACAAGAAAATCACTTTCTTGTTACTGGCAGTAAAAATGCTCCTAGTAGCGATGCCAGGAGCCCCTAGTAGCGACCTTGCTCCTAGTAGTAAGGCCGGGAGCCCCTAGTAGCT